CTTCATATCCAGTGTTGTTCGTTCCAGCCTTGGCGTTGAAATCTCCCATCAGAATTGTCAGGTCCTTTGTTGGGCACTTCTCGACGATTGACTGCAGCCTAGTGTAGAATTGATCTTTAGCTTCTTCATTGTAGTCGTTGGTAGGCGCATAGCATTGGATGATGTTCATTGAAATGCCCTCTTTTTTGTTTTGAAGGGGGTTTTGATGATCCTTGGTCCATGAGATTCCCATCCTATAAGCGCATTTTGCGCTTGTTTAGACAGCATCAATGCAACTCCTTGTGTATGTGGAGCATTTTCTTCTTCATGGCCGGAGTAAAACAGGAGCTCTCCTGAAGTTAGCCGTTGTTGTCCAACTTGTGTCCAATGTGTTTCACTGATCCCAAGTACCTCTAGGTTGTATCTTCTCATTTCTGCAGCAATTTGGAAGACTGTCCCGGTGTCCCACATTGTACGAACATTCCATGTACCCAAATAAATGGTTGCTCTGGTTGTCAGAAGGGGCATCGGCCTCGTAACTTCCGAAGGAATTCGGCTTTCATCATGAGGCGTCATAGTTCTTCTAAATGAAGACCTTCTGACTCCCAGGACAGAGTTAAAAAGGTTTGAATAATTTTTTCTGGTTAGCGTTTTTTTAGCGAGTTAGTTTTCTACGGGATGGGGACGCTAACCCCATGCCCAACCCTCCTCCTTTATTCGGGCTTGGGACCGATCATACAAACTCATTCAATAATTAATGTAAACGGAAAAAGAAATAAAATCAACCACAATATACCAAGATATTATTTATATCAAATTCGTTTCATCTTCTAATCTTATCTCATGTAAATGTTTTCAATTGTGTTGTTTTTCAATCAGAACAGGATGAAAATGTTTTATTGACAACGAAATGTTATTTCCGTTTGTCAAAATAAAACAAGTATAGTCAAAGAAGACAATGATTCTAGAAGGAAGGAAAATATATGATATGGGTCATGGAATAAAATTATTTATACGTAAGCGTGTACTTTTGATGCTTGAATAAAGCGACATACGAATATTTCTTTCGATGAGTTCTAATGAAAATTGTCAAACTGTAAATATGTTTATAGTTCGTTCAATTAGTACACTGAAGGAAGTCATAAAAACGTTATTTAACAAAATTTGGTATAAATTAGTTTTATCCCCTTCGAAATACTTTGATGTGTAGCAAAACACTCATCTCATCTATTATTCAAAGCATCTATGAACGTTCTCATAACTTATTCTCTTCAGCTGTTTCGTCATTTCTCACTACTCGATGTTTTACTGAAATCATCTGCGTTGATAATATTTATCTTATAATTCATCAACTACCATTCTGACCGGAAACCAGCTTCTAGAAACATTCAGAGCTGATAATTATCTTGACTTTGAATCATCCTCTCAGTCTTCATTATAATGCTCACTGGAAACTCATTAAATTTTTTCGTCTCTGTTTTGTATTAAGTTGGCTTGATGATGAACTGATTAGCTCTTCTTTTATAACTTTCGATTATTTAAATTATTTTCTAGTGTATTTAATAAAATATCAATAAAATGTAATTTGTTGACATTACAATTCTTAGAAAGTTATCAGTATAGGGTTGTGAAGATTTTTGAGTATAGATTGATATCATGAATGGATCAATTTTAGAACACCATTGAGAATCTGGTAGCAGTGAACGGCCGTTTCATCTTATTATGGGACTCCTCAGCAGTGCGCATCCACGACTCCGCATGCAAGACTCTAAACCAGGACCTCTGGTCTCGCGTGTGAAGTGTAAATTATTTCAAAACGTACGATGTCAAGTTGCCTTAACAGTTCTTTGACAGCCTATATATCCCTATAGAGTATTAGAAAAAGAGCATTAAAGTGAACAATTATTTTTAATAGACATTAAATTAGGGTCAATATTTAAAACTTATAAATGAATCAGTGAGTGTTATTAATTGAAATTACGTCCTAAATATCTACAGAACACTTCATTATTACAATCAAAGTGTACCTCCTTCTATTATGTTCTGATCGACAATAAATAGCGGTTTGTTTCATATAGCTAAATATATATCCTAAATAAATGGTTGCTCTGGTTGTCAGAAGGGGCATCGGCCTCGTAACTTCCGAAGGAATTCGGCTTTCATCATGAGGCGTCATAGTTCTTCTAAATGAAGACCTTCTGACTCCCAGGACAGAGTTAAAAAGGTTTGAATAATTTTTTCTGGTTAGCGTCTTTTTAGCGAGTTAGTTTTCTACGGGATGGGGACGTTACCCCATGCTCAACCCTCCTCTTTTATCCGGGCTTGGGACCGGCAGTAGCCCCCGAAGGGACTCCAGGCGGACATGAGAAAAATGAACAAGAATTGGATGGAACTAGAAAAGAAGGCCCAGGACAGAGTGGGTTGGAGAATGCTGGTCGGCGGCCTATGCTCCATTAGGAGTAACAGGCGTAAGTAAGTAAGTAAATATATATTCAATGTTTAAAGATGTCAGTTTCGGAATCCGATGATTAATATTTAAATTAAACATAGAATGTAATTTCACTGAAACATTTGTCATTTTATATCTAGTTCCGTCAAAAGTACATTGTAAATCAATGTTTGAACGGACAAAGTGGTAGTAATTCTTTTCATGTTTATGATATCTACGATCACGTTCAATAATTGACTAGTACCAAAAATGAAATTTCATTTTCTGTTAACCGTTCATGAATATCATCAATAGATGCTGTCATTATCGTGGATAATTGTTATGGAATGTTCGGATTAATGTCTCAACAATTGATCATTTTCATTGTGTAACTTTGAACCCCTGCTAAATGTTATCAGTTAATAGAAAATCTAGTTCAAGTCGAGTTTTCAGTCGATTACACCCAAATACCAAACAATTGAATAAAATACTAATTCGTTTCAACTTACTGTGAACATTAAATCACAGTTTTAGTATGAAGGTGTGAAGATGTCTTTTAATATCCATTTAGCTAAATGTATTTCAATATATTTCCCAAAAAAAGAGAAATGAGCTATACATTCAAAGGTAGTATTACGTTATATGATAATGTTTAAATGAAATCATCGAATTTATGCGATTTAAGTGAAGAATGAACTTTGTAATGTTAATTTTCAAATAGTAATATTCACCAATAATAACTATCATCAAGTACTAATTTTATAGCACAGATAAAGATAACAAAAAGAAATCTGGACGTATAAACAATCCTATTACAGGACCTATCAGTCGCGCGCGCGACCTCTTGACCACTAAACCACTGAGTCGTAGTGAGAAATGACGAAACAGCTGAAGAGAATAAGTTATGAGAACGTTCATAGATGCTTTGAATAATAGATGAGATGAGTGTTTTGCTACACATCAAAGTATTTCGAAGGGGATAAAACTAATTTATACCAAATTTTGTTAAATAACGTTTTTATGACTTCCTTCAGTGTACTAATTGAACGAACTATAAACATATTTACAGTGTGACAATTTTCATTAGAACTCATCGAAAGAAATATTCGTATGTCGCTTTATTCAAGCATCAAAAGTACACGCTTACGTATAAATAATTTTATTCCATGACCCATATCATATATTTTCCTTCCTTCTAGAATCATTGTCTTCTTTGACTATACTTGTTTTATTTTGACAAACGGAAATAACATTTCGTTGTCAATAAAACATTTTCATCCTGTTCTGATTGAAAAACAACACAATTGAAAACATTTACATGAGATAAGATTAGAAGATGAAACGAATTTGATATAAATAATATCTTGGTATATTGTGGTTGATTTTATTTCTTTTTCCGTTTACATTATTTATTGAATAAGCTAGTATGATTAACTAACAATCAACGAAATAAATTTGAACAAAAATAACGATTGTTGAATTTATTTTTTTGAAATCACGAATCGATTTAATAAAGAAAACCTTAGAAAACTTGAAAGCACTGGACAACCTTTTAGTCCTAATCGAGGACTTCTGAGCTGTGAGCATCCATTAATGTCTAACATCTAGACCATTGAGATGGAATTTAAAGGTTAGGTATTTACGCGCAAGACTAATGGCCCTAAGTTTGATCCTTGGATTCGTGGTCATCGAAGCTCAATACTGAGGAGTTCCATGCTTGAACGAAACAGTCCTCTATATTTTTTCAGGTTTCTGATGGTTGTCTAACTTAGACCGGTTTGTGATTTCAATAAAATCAGACAATCTCTACTACTTCATATTGATGAGTAGTTTATTATCATGAATTCGCTCAATACGTAGATAGGTTGAATACATTTATATGCTTTCAACATAATTTAAATAACTTCAAAATATAAGTATTTCTTTTCGATATATAAAGATTATTTTTATACAGCTAAACTCTGACAAATACTCACGGTTTTCAAACATGTTTTGTAAGTCTAAAATATAAGATATTCACTTCTTGTTAGTTTTAGATAAATCTACTTTGTACATATGACCTTTTGGAACAAGGTGAATTGGTAATAACTAACACTAACTTTCAACACATACCAAAATATGTTCCAGAATGTCTTTCCAAAGATTTGAGAAAAGTGTTTAGGAACTAGACCTCATAATACCTAACTTCATTATATTAATCTATATTTTTTTCTTCTCAATTCAAACTTTCTCTCTTCAATCTATTCTACCATAAATACTGTTACTACATATATTACTCTGAAATTTCATTATGCTCTTGTGGATTAGTAAATTAAACTGAGGTTAATCTATGCTACATTCTACATTACGTACGCTTACTGGTAGAATTACTGACTGACTAATCGAGATGAAATTAAGATTCGATATAGATACTAAACACTTTAATTCAGTGTAGCTAATAGAAAGTTTTAAAAATTTCTGGGAAAAATGTAATCGGCCAATCAGAATATTAGTTCACATGAAATATATATATATATATATATATATATATATATATATATATATATATATATATATATATATATATATATATATATCCTATTAGGTATTGTGTTCGGATTTACACAGTAATATGTGAGTTTTTTAGACATTTACGTTAAAGCTATATGTATAATATGTGTATTTAGTTTAAATTCATCAATGTACTTTGCAATTGGACAAAAAGGCTTGTTTGAATTGATTAAATAAGTTGTTTATAGAAAGTTACTTATATCATTATTGTTGAATTGAAAGCAAAAAGATTCAATGCTCTGGTAAGAGATATTGTGTTAAATTATTTGGAGTGAATGAATGGCTAACTAACTGTACAATCATTATTAAAATAACGGTGAGACTATGATTTATGAACAACCTTTGAGAGTACCCATCTAATAACTAAGGCTAAATGAGGGTTCTAAATCAATGTGAGTAATGAAAATTATAATTTACAGTTGATAGTTATGAGTTAGAAATTAGACTTAAGGTTTTCATCACGAACTGACATCAGCTATAATGCCAAAATGATATTTAGCCAAATGGATGAGTGAATCTCATGTCAAAATCCGTGACCTTTTATCTTATATCTGATTAGTTCGTCCATAAATTATAGTGTCTCAGAAATAACTGCTAACGATGATCAATTTATTTTCCACATCATTGACAAATGCTCTTAAATGAGATTATTTCCCTTTTTAGTTTGAAAGGGAATATGACTTTCCACTGGGTTCTAGATATTCCTGTCATTCAATCAGTATTGTATATAAATTGAAGTATGGCATGTTTAAACATTTGTTTGTAATTTTTATTTACTCTATGAGTAATTGATTTGTTTGCATTTTCTCATAAAATTATTCCCTCTTGGTCGTCCACGTATAATTTTCAATGTTGGTTTAGTTATAACCAAACTGTATGATGCATAATATTCTGGAGAATAAAAGAATTTAATCTTTTCTATCATTATTAGCCTCTTTTAGTTTAAGTGTTTGGAGACTATGAATTGACAAAGGGCAAAAAATATCATTTTTATTGATTTATTTAGTAACAGTGATTAATTTTGTACAGCTTGATAATCAATTTCTTTTGTTGCTGAGTGCTTATCTATCATCCCTAATCGATCAGTCAATTAAGCATTCTATTTTTTTCCGAATACTTTTTAAAGTTTCAAACTCATATTAACATATTAAAGTCAAATTGACTGGGACAATTTCAAGGATTCTTCAATACCATTTTACTGGACTTGAACAATAACTAATAACTTCATAATGCATTAAACAGTGTTTGTAATTAGTACAGTCATTGTGTTTTTGATTTTCAATTTTTTAAACGTTTATCAAATACACATCAAACATATAGTTCCCTTTATCATATTGAAAAGAGTAAGAACAACGATTTGAGCAGAATAACATGAATTCATTTTACTTCGTTTGGTTCTTGTCATCTGCTTACTACTTATGATGTATAAAAATAATAATTACAAAATGAGATGCTACTATTAACCTTTTCAAGTTATAGTTGACCTCTTGGATGATTGGAATCAATAGTTTCGACATTTAAATGTTAAAGTTTGTTAGAAAATACCTATCCTCATTCCTCTTGATCACACACAAAAAATATAAGTCGACAGCATATAAGTAAGCCAACACTATTCAAATTAATAATTGACAAATTTCACATTTAATGTTGAAATAAATTGGTTTCTCACTCAATACGAAGCCTATTTAACAATGGACCAATTTAAGCTAGAAACCTATTAAAAATCTGGTGGCTAAATCTCTACAACCCTCACTAGCGACTAGCTTCGAAAGGAAATTTTAGAAGTTCTAGTAAAAAGTCATGATCAATGGGGTTTAACCGTGTCGATTTTGAGGAAAGTATCCACAAAAAACAATGAAATATGGTAGTACAGTATCATGGATCGATTGAAGTTAAACTTGTACATTATCAAATCTTGTATCAGCTGTCTGGAGCTTAAGTGTTTGTGCTCAAGGCCACAGGTCCTTGATTCGATTTCCGGCAGTGGGGTTATAGATTCACATTGTTGAGTAATTCCACACTGAAATGAAACGTCTTTTCAATGCTTTAAGATTTTCAATGTTTGTTTAACTTAGATCACCTCATGATCTAAAAAAAAATACATAATATGCATAATATGATCTACTTGGATTCATTTGTCACTCACATTTTCTTTGTGTTACTATTGTTCAATCCTTGTTTAAATTACTATATATTTTATTGATTTGTGTTATTTTCGTTGTTGTCTAGATTATATTAGTTGACTTTTATAATAATGAATTCAGAGGAATTTCTATCTGCTGCACAATTATTATTACAATTTATAGTGAAGTATAGAAATGGAGCATTTTCTCGTGAATTTCCAGTATTACCGAATAAAGAAATAATTCAACCAAATTATCTTAAATCATTCATATCAAATAAAGCACCAGAGAATAAAGAAAGTTTTAATGAAATACTTAAAGATATTGAAGATAAAATTATGCCTGGAGTAAGTCAATATTGTAATAAATAATTTACATTTTATTTGATTAGTATTAGAAGGGGTTTTGTGGAGTTTGTAATAATTTCATTAGTTGAGATCATGAGTCAATTGAAGCTAGACTGTTATGAAAAGCCTGAAAGCACTGGACAGTTGTTTCTTCCTATTGTGGGACTCCTCAGCAGTGCGCATCCATGGTGATGGTCTAGCTTCAAAGAACTCATGATCACAACTATTGAAATTACATTTTATTGGTTTGTATTTTTAAGATAAATGACGTGGCAAATTCATTTATGATTTACCCTAATTCGATATGAACTAATTAGTCGACACCAACCAATTTATACATGATCAGACGAAAAACCTTTAAGTGTTATAGAAAATAAAAGAAGAACACTACATCTATTGAATTAATCTATGTTTTCAGCCTTGGTTTAATTAGAGTATAGATGTGTAGTGGCCCGATGGGATCTGACTCCCATTTAGATTGTACGAATGTTTGTTATCGCTTATTCTCGTATATCATCGTATACTTGAATCGCGTTATCCAATAACGGAATTAAATAAGTCGAATAACGAGAATTGACTTGAGAATACATATATTTCGTACATAAAGCGAATGAAGCATAGCAAATCAAAAATGACACGTATGGAGGATGGCTGGGAAGCCAACTCCATCTTTGTCAAGCGTTACTCAATATTTATAGTCAGACAAAATAAAGCTACAGACATGTGATTAATGGAATAAGAAGGGCACACACATATACGCTCATATAAAAACAGTCTAGATTGATAAGCGAATAAATAACAAGGTCAATGTATGGCTCAAGTAAAATGAATAGAATGGGATGTCCGAAAGCTCGAATAAGGTATATGGGCTTGGCATAATAACTGACACTACAGATGTGTATTTAACTGGATCCATAGGTAATTGCAATCAATTTTTTTGTACGATTAAACTTAACCACCTTCAATTGATCACAATAGAACTTTAGGAAGCTATCTCAAGGATAGTCGAAACATAATAATTATTACAAATAGTATCTCCAAACGAAGCACCTACTAACTGCCGTAATTGTTTTCAATAGTTTACCAGCTGGTGTCAGATTATAATGAATGTAACTATTCATAAATCATTCCACTTGGCAAAAAAACGCCTGGTAAATTTTTTTTTGCTTTGCTAAGTTTTTTTTCATAACCATATATCAATGTGGCCGTCAGAAGAAAAAAATACCACCATTCTTTCTCAATTAGTAGAAGAAACTGTAGAATTCCACAAGTGTTCTACTCCACTTATTTTCACGATTTATTTCCCTGTCATACCCACAAACAATTTATTACTATTTTCACGATAATTTGAATCACTCATACAAACGTGTTATTTTATCGTTCAGACAGTCATAGCATTAGTACATGTTAATTTTTTGTACGCTCATTAATTTGCTCATATTCGCATGTTAACGTTTCCATTTTTGTCCGCGCCTTTGCGATATTCATGTATTCTTTTACATAAGTATGACATTTTCATATAATACACTCATCCCTCATGTGACACTGTACGTTATCGAGTGTTGTACAATATTTTTTCGCTACTTATTGTTAACGTTAACTTCATATCACTTCAGTGTTATTTTCGAAAACACATTTTTTAAATGTGCTATTTTCTACAAGGGGGCTATGTAGTGTCAGTCATTATGTTAAGCCCATATACTTTATTCTAACTTTCGGACATCCCATCCTATTCATTTTACTTGAGCCATACATTGACCTTGTTGATTATTCGCTTATCAGTCTTGACTGTTTTTATATGAGCGTATATGTGTGTACACTTCATATCCCATCCCCGTCGCCAATTGTTATGACTGTGACTGCAGATTAGACGGCAGCGAGTTATCGATTGAACCAATGACGCATAAACACGTGCGAGCGACCTAGAGTCCTGGTTGAGTCCTGCTTCCCTGTCTAGCTCAGCCAGTTGAGTCCAGAACGCAAGTCTCAGCCTCTGAGATATAAATCATTATATTTCAAGCATACTGAGTTTATATACCAATCAAACCGACCACAACGCACCAATAAAATATGAAACAACATTTGTACAAGAATTAGCCGGATGTGACTGTGAATGAAGGAGGTAGCGATTAACAGACAGGGAATAATTCATGAATGGTAAATCGTATAATAATAGTTCATAGGTCAAAATAAAGCTCATAATAAGAGGGAGATGAATATGAACAGTTTAGTTACATAACAATTATACGATAAAAATATACCCATAATATTGGTCCATAAATGGATCCCGAAAGTTACCATTCATTATTATCGGGATATAACAGTATTTCATTCATTAACAATACAAATAACTTTCTGTTCAATTACGAAAGGAATCGGATTAATCGATTAATTCTTAAAGATTATTTATACTGATATAGAATTTTTATTAAAACAGTTATGTGTAGAAGGCAGTAGAGTTACGTTTGACACACGATTTCTATGTCAAGATTATTAAAGGGAAGTAGATTGGTTGAAGTCAGACATTAACACCGTTGGATGCCGGCCAGCTCATTGGTCTAATGGTCAAGCGAGACTGATAGGTTCCAGGTTCGAATCTCGCAGGGGTCAGGATCGTGGATGAGCATTGCTGAGGGGTCCTATACTAGGACGAAACGGCCGTCCAACGCTCGCAGATTTTCCATGGTGATCTAGCTTCAATTGACTCATGATTTCAACTATTGAAAGTAATAAATTATTAAAAATAGGTTTCCTCTGATTATGAAATGATGGTAAATGTTTGCAGCTTAAGGTAAGACTATTAGTAGTGTTTTATTACTTGAGCTGATTGACATTTTTTGTGTGAAGATTTGATTGTTCATCTGAGTAATATCATCAGTAAAAATCATAATGCAAACAATGACTACAAAGTTATTGACAATAACCAATCAAATTTCAAGTCGATAATATAAGTTGTTAGTCAACTGAAGAAGAATTTTAGTTCTTCATTTCCTTTGAAAGTATGTTTTAATAATGTTGTCTAGATGGATAATCAAATCTTCATGACAAAATCACCTAGTTTATTGAAGATAACATTTTCAACAAAAGTAATTAACATTAGTCGTTATAATGATTAAAATAAAGAAAAACACTCAATATGTATTCTAATATTTTTACTTCAAAATTCAGCTTACACATTGGCAACATCCGGATTTTCATGCTTATTATCCAACAGGTACATCATATGCATCAATATTAGGTGATTTATTGTGTTCAAGTATTGCATGTATTGGATTTTCATGGGTAAGTTCCCAAATAATAGCAGTAATAATAATAATAATAATAATAATAATGGTATAGCAACTCTCCTACGATCAATTTCCATCATGATTAACTTTTGCTAAGCCCTTTTACTAACTTATTTGACAGACAATGTGGCGAGACTATAGTTTATGGATGAACCAGTCACGTATATGATAACAGGTCCCAGATTTTAGTACGAAATTCATTCATATATTTGGCTAAATAGCGTTTTGGCATTTTAGCTTATATCAGTTCGTGATGAAAACCTTAAGTCTAATTTCTAACCTTAACCATCAACTGTAAGTCCTCATCCTAGTTATTAGGTGGATACTTATACCTTATTATCACTCAAATGTCCATAAATTATCGTCCAACAGACAATGTTATTCGGACAGTAATAATTCGTCTATTTCTTTGTATTATTATGATCACTATCATATCTGTATAAACGTGACAGCCTACGCACATATCTCTATCTAGCTTAAATGTTAATCACTTAAATATCGCCCGTATAGATATATGTGTACTCGAATCCTATTAATAGCTTTTGCATTGCCTTGCTTAGCCTCTCCCGTGTCTAGCTGCGCCTTGATTCCATATGACTATGAATCCACCTCTATGTTCGCTTGCACACACACATTAGCCTCTGCTCCGAATTTGCTCGATTTGTTTGTAACTTTGTTATCTGTATAATCTAATAATAAACTGTAGTCGCCTCTTCTTATTGCCTTCTGAATTCAAACGTCGTTGAGATTTATATAATAACGGTTATCAATGTGATTGATTAACGAAGCCAAGCCACTACAATCGTAAGAATAATCACTTTGTTCATTACCATATATTTGATTACAGTAACGAATATTCAACATAAATTATGTGATAATGAAACATTATCCATATTATATAATCATTTAACTTGTGAATATTCCAATTTATATTGTATGAAAATGTTTCTATGAAGCAGCTTATTACCAGTTATATTCATCTATAAATGTTTATAATCAGTCTTAATTCCATGAAATTCACTTTTTATTGTATAAATGATGGTTTGAATAGTTTATCTCTAACTTCTCCAATAATACCAAAAAGGTTAGCTTAACCCTTAAAAAAACACTTTTTACCTCTTTCATGCTTTCATAGCTAGCAGTATAATCCAGGCCGCGTCAGTTGGGTGTACCTGCGCCCCAGATTTGGTGTTCACCCCAGGACTCGAACTCAGTACGAGTCTCAAATAGGACGAAAAGCGCGTACTGGATTCCACTACCAACCACCATCTATCTTTACTTGTAATGCTTGCGATTTAAGGCTACACTGAGGCAATCCGTACACGTGTGCCAATAAGAGACTGATCGATTGCAGTCCTACACAGCAGTGGGAAGATTCGAACAAACAATATCAAATCAATTTTGGATGTATGGTTTTCTTGCTCATTCAGAGCCCAAAGTCTTTAAATAGTATTGAGTTTAGAACTTACTTACGCCTGTTACCCATCGTGATGCATAGATCACCGACCAGGATTCTCTAACCTACTCTGTCCTGAGTTCTGCTTTCCGGTTGTTGTCAATTATTATTCATTCTTTTTATGTTTGTATTCAATTCTCGGCTCTATATGTTCTATGATCTATCTCTTTCCCTTTTGCCTTAGAAATTATCAGGTCACTGAGAAATTAAAATTACAAGCACCGAATGTTTAAATTTAAGTTTAATAGTAACATGTTAAACTTACGATCTGATTAGTTTCGATTCATTCTCATTCCATATCGACAATTTATACTATTAAAGATGAAGTTCTATTGATTGTTCCAAGATTATTAGAGGATAAATATGATTCAAAACAACGAATAAACTTAACTGAAGATAATTTTTCATATAAATTATGAAATAAAGAAACTAAGCCTACCCTGGTAATATTGACTGATAGAATGAGTGATATCTCCACGATCCCCTTCTGATATTGACTTTATTATCCAGAGTGATTAGGTTTCGAATTGTGTTCACATTATTATTACTCTTATTATTATCCTTATCTCCTCTTACCCCATTTCCAGTCTAGTTGACCTTTTATATTTATATATAAATGCTCTTAACAAGTATATGTGTGATCAGATTGTTCGAAATGTATTGCGCTAATATATCACATAATTCTGATCATCTTCGTCTTCTTATTACATCATCGAAATTGTACTCTATATTTTATTTTCAGTTATCATGTCCACCATGTACAGAATTGGAAGTGATCATATTAGATTGGATGGTTCATGCATTAGGATTACCGGATAAATTTTTATCATCTAGTAGTGTGAATGATCCATTACATAAAGGTGGTGGAGTTATTGAAGTAATTTCATTGAATGATTGAAATATTTTGATGATAATAATTTGATGTAACCCTAATGTTTAAACTGATTCACTTTATTCAACATTGAATATAGATGGTGAAAGAAAGGAGACTATTGTAATTTAGATGCTGTTTAGATGATTTTAAATGCATTTACTATTTGGGTAGATTAAGTGTGATAGAATGTCAATACTAAAAGTAATAATTTAAAGTCTCTAGTAATTTTTGCTAATTAAGGAAGCTTGAAAATTAAAGTATGCAGACATATAGACAGAATGATATTGAATTTTAAACTGAACTACTTATTAACGATATAAGAGACTAAGCTATTTAAAAAAATTATTAATGAATGGCCAACATGGATTAATGCAGAAAGTTAGTTGATACTTAAAAAGCTCCATGTCAATGTTTCATACTGTGAAGTTGGGTGACGGGGAAAGTAATTCCCTCAGGTCCGTTTTGCTAATGAGCTCCAAAACACAAGAAACCTAGGTTCAAGATTTCTAACCGGTTCTTTCTAACCATCTAAGATCTTAACACTGTGAAGTTTAATTTTTATCTATAATTTGAAATCACTGATAATATGAGATGCATACTATGATGTACAGTTCAAACCAATTATCACTTACTTCATGGGTTGGTTTCATGCTTCAACTTAATCGGTTTGAGTTTTATTACAGTTCATTCTTAGTTCAGTAAGAACAGTATATTATTAGACGAATATGAAATGATGATATATGAATTAGCGAACGAGTGCGTTATGAAAATTGATAGCTAAGTAAATATATTTAATGTCTGAAGTGTGTATTAAATGGTTTTTAAGAAAATGAATCCTTTTTAAATTTTGCCTTACATTGAACAAATGTTTAGATTTGCAGTTGAAAAACCATGATATCGGGAATTCTTTTTCATTTTATTCTACCAACTAACTTAATTATTCCTGTTACTCCTCGTGGAGGAGCATATGCCGCTCATCAGCATTCTCCATCCAACTCTGTCTCAAGCAATCCTTCCAGTGTTTGCTTCCAACTCTCGGCTTAATGTCTTCTTTTGTCACTTTCTTTTCCGTTTCCCTTCAGGATTACAAGTTAGCGTTTGCCTCATGATTCAGTTTGGTGATTTCCTCAATGTACAACCTATCCACATCCAGTATCTTTTCCTATTTTAATCTTCAGTTGGGAGCTCTTTTGTTCCCTCTCACAGTAGACTGTTGCTGATGGTATCCGACAAACGGATATTCGGTATCTTATGTAGACAATTGATTACAAATACTTGTACATTATGGATGATAGTTATAGTAGTTCTTCAAGTTCAAGCTCCATATAATAGAAATGTCTTGATATTCGTATTAAAGATTGTGACTTGGATGCTGAGTTCCATATGTTCTTCAATTGTAGGAATGCTGTCCTTACTCTAGCAATCTTATAACAGTTCTAGAATTACTACTGGTCCCAAACCCACACAAAGGAGTAGGGCTGAACATGAAGTCGGAAACCCCATCCCGTAGAAATCAACCTTGCTAGAAAAACGCTAACCAGTTTAAACTAAGCTAATTCATCATCGGTATAACATTTATTGATGTTGCCAGTATGGATAATGCTATATAATTCAGTCACTATTTTAACAAATATACCTATAAATTATTCTTAGTTTCTTACTTCACAGTGGTAAAATAGTTTACCCCAAAAATATTTATTATCAAGAGATCAAATGCTTCATATTAACATGTTTATATAATTCAGTTGAACTAAAATACATGATGACAGTTATGTGCATTGAATATAACCTGATCAAATATCAACATTTTAGACTGTTAGCTAATGTGGTAAACGTTTCCTTAAATTAAGTTTTAATTTATACTGCTACATTGTCAGAACAGTCCAAATGGACAATTTATTCTGTTGTTAAATCAATCATCACAGTTTAAATATGTACTTAAAGAAGTGTATTTTTTGAAAAATAATGAATCATTGAGATTAAAGAATAGAAGCTATTATCCAATACTCTTACTGCACAAAGATACACAATGTTGATGGATCAATGCTACTTCTTATTAACCTAGACGTTTCTTTATCATTATTGCACAACTTCACTCGCTTATATCATAAACGTTCATATTCTTTCTTCTCAAAGAGAATAATTTAGATTTCACTTTCTGTGAATCGATCTGAACACAAAAAAAAACACAACGTGGAATAATTCAGAAGCCCTATTCATCATAACACTAAATAAAGATACATAGCTTTTATCATCGACTGACTTCGGTAAGAGAATTACTGTAAACCAATGACTACTTAATAGCTGTTTTATCTCTTTTTAAATTGAGAGATCTTCACAAATCATCTTTCTTAGTAACAACAACGATAATAATAAATTACTTCGTGAAGAATTCTTGAAGCCCCCCATGTGAAGTTGTGACCTGTGGACTTCATTCTTAATAGGAATGGTACAAATATCACTCTAGATACAAGTAAATGATGGTCGCTCTATACTTCATAGTGACAGAAGTTAGCAATGTGAACTTTAGGGTATATACCTCAATTTACTTTACATACAATAGTTCTACCACATAGTGAGATACTAGCCAGTATTATTTATTGATAACTACTTCACTCCGGATATAAGTGAAAACCATTTCAGTCATGACTTATCTCTAGAACTTTGAGAGCTATCCTAGAAACCAAATGTTTCTAGGGATAAACTTGACGTACGGTTTGAGAATTCCTTGGGATATTGGTTTATTTTGAAGTTCGCTTTCATAGTGACTTTGTACAAATTTAAGAACAACTGCGAAAACAGGAAAGTACTAGTAAGCTGTTTCATCATAGTTCTTGACTACAATAGCGTACATTTACAACCTTTCGATGAATGAAACTGAATTGTACCTTCAGTTTTCACAGTAACTGCATTATCTTTAGACCACTGAGTTGGAATCCAATAGTCCTGATAAAAACTAGTTATTTAATATGTGTTTACAAATATTCATTATATTTATATTCCATTTCTAACAATACCTATATCCAAACCGTTTTTTGTTTTATACAACTGTACGTGTATAGGTAAGTGCAAGTTTGGCTTGCGCAACAGTAGCTCTGGGTATACGCGATCGAGTGATGAAAACGTATGTAAAAAACACTAATCAATCTACAAAAATCATAGATGAGAATAAAACTGGATCAATGGTCGATCGTATGGTAGCGTATACATCAGATCAGGTAAAAAAGATTTCAATTTTTTGACATAAACCTATGAAATTGTAGGACACCTAGTGTAAACTTTTATTGATCCATTACATTTAAAACAACCATTTCGATGTGGTCTTTTATTTAAAAAGAAATGAACTGTAGTATTTATGTAATTCCACACACATAATACATATAACAAAGTAAGTCGATAAGCATACTACTGACAAACTTTAAAACGAATTCCCCTAATTTCTATTTGAAAGTCAAGACTTGCGAAATCAACTTAATAGGAAGTAAGATGGTCACATACCGATAAGAATCATGCGTATTGGGAATTGACAGAAGTTGAAAATTTGGAATAGTCTGCTTGAGAAAGTATGAACTACCCAGTTAAATTCTGCATAGAAATTGTGATCAGTACTTGTAAAACGTAGGTGGTATGACACGAACCGGTCACTGTGGTGCAAATGCATTCATTACTTTTCTTACGCTAGACCTTCAGTTACAAATTTATTTCAAAATTTTTATTCTGTGAACTCGTTTCTAAATTTTGAGTCATGTTCTCAATGTTTAGTGTTTTTTACATTCACAGATTGTCTGATGATATGTTGAATATTTTCTGTTCGTCTTGTTGATTTTATCTCTTTATGTTGATGTACTGTGGCAAGTAGGAGTGATATTCATTTACGTTAGGTTCCACATGGTTTGTGCTTGACTAACTTATTGTCTGATTAGTTATATCCCAAAATTTCCAACACTTGTTCATAAATGTACCTCTCTCTGAGACTGCAACTCTCATAACATATTCACATGAACAACGGACATATGAAAATGTGAAAATTCGTGTCTGCTTTAAAGTAGCTTCTATTAAAATCTATAATCAATATAATACTATTTAAAGCAATTGGTCCCTTTGATAAATTTCGATAATGTAATGAGACTATTTATCAACAAAGTTCAATCTGAGAGTTCAACTAAGCCAAAATGTATTTTCTCAGGTAAATTACAGAATTATTCTATAAAATATGTGGTTGGGGGAATAAAGTTTACCAACCTTTCATTTTCTTTAACAAAATGTTCTGATTAATTAATCATTGTGTGATCGCTTAAGTTTATCCACCTTACTACTGGCTAATTTAATAGTTTATTTTATTCTACTTAATCTTCATCAGTAGTTTGAGTAATTTCAAATATATTATATGCACATCGGTTGTAATAACCAATAAATGACATCTCACCTTTGCAATAAACGATCTACCCTATTTGTTTGTACTTTTCTTTCGATATTTTATCTTGCCTTTCGTCCTTTGTCAGTGTTTCCTTCTTTCTCCAGTTTTTTATACTTCCTGCATAAGTTACTGTTCAATGATTTGGTTGTTTTTTAAATATAGAACCAAATATCTTATCGGTACTCCTATTCGACAGTTACATACTGTTTGTTAATTTATAATACCATGTTGTGAAGTTTTAATAATAATAATAATAAGGATAGGGGAATATATAACTCATCTGACACCTGCCAGATTATCTACATGTCTGACTAAGCAAACAACAATCAGTATCATTTTCGTCTACACATCACCTCATAATGTGATACAGTAACATGAACTAGCTCACATTTGTCTCAGGCTCTACTCTAAACGTTTGAATAACGAAACAGTCAAAATTATACAAGGATGTATACTTGTATATCTTATTGATAATAAACACCTGTTCCATATAAAAGAAAATCATAATATTTTTCATTCTATAATTCTTCGAAAATTCATTTTTATCAGTATGAGTTTGTGAAGATTGTTAAGTTTTTGATTGAGACCATGAACCGATGAATGTTAGACGACCATTAAAAACCTGGAAACACTGGATGGCCATTTCGTCCTAGTATGGGACTCCTCAATAGTGTACGTCCACGATCGCGCACACGAAATCCGAACCCATGACCTTCAGTTCCACGCACGAATGCTCCAGCTGTAGACTACTGAGCCAGCATCCAGCGATGTTGATGTTTAAGTCTAACCAATCCACGAAATGGCGCGACAATTTTCCATCGTATGAGGTAGATGCCCGTCTCTACCTGACATGGAACAGTTACACTGGTCACGGCTTCTCACCAGAACTTCGAGAATTACCTCTCGAAGCTAGTCACTAGTGGACATGTGGTGGTCGCGCAATTTCGTGGATTAGTTGGACTTAAACATCAACATCGCTAGATGCTAGCTCAGTAGTCTACAACTGAATCATTCGTGCGCGAAACTGAAGGTCATAGGTTCAGATTCCGTGTGCGGGATCGTGATTGCGCACCACTGAGGAGTCCCATACTAGGACGAAACGGCAGTCCAATGTTTTCGGGTTTCCCATGGTGGTCTAACTTTGATCGATTCGTGATCTCATTCAAAAAATCTACTTTTTATTTCTATGTAATGTATGTTTCTCAATGTTCTTGTATAAATTAACTTATCGTAGAACAAAAAATGAACCATTTGATCATTATGTATATAGATTTTATTAAACTCTTTAATTTTTTTATGAATATATAAATAATATTAATTTTTTATTAGGCACACAGCTCTGTCATTCGGGCATTTCATCTGGCTATGTTGAAATGTCACATGATTCAAACAAGGAAGATGGAGAAAAAATTAATTTTTGATTCAAAGGATTTACAAGAAGCAATTGAAAACGATATAAACAAAGGTTTTATTCCAGTTATGGTAAGATCAATGAGTGTATAGAAGGTATTTCATATTGTTAAACTAAATCAAGAACTATATTAGAAATATTTTTTGAATAATCTGATAAATCTGTTATATTTGATTGAATTCTCTAATATCCAACGATATTTAGGCAAATAAGCTCAAATGTATGAAAAGTAAAAATGGTGATAATGATGTGGTGGACGAGAACACAAGTGGGGACAATCAAATGTATATAAATACAAAATTATAGAATCTCTTAGTAAAAAATATGAGAACCACGGAGTAGATACTTTATTTGAAAAATGTCCGCCCCCAAACGCCCTGGTATGGCCGAGAGCGGGGTGGGTTCGCCCTCCTTCTCGAAATACTCACACGGCCGCGCGTATACAGCCTCTGCCATGGAAGTCCTACTCACTGCCTTCTCGTGGCGGAGGTGTTGTTTACGAAAATGAGAGGACGAAAAGCGAATGTCCGGCGCTTTAACCGGATTCCAAAGCTATGGTGCACATGGGCACCAGTATCCTGCGGGAACAAATGGCGTATGAACCAATTTTCGGTCACCGGCTACCATGGGACTGCATCTCCATACGATGCTCCACTGCCTTGTGGGTTAGACCTTTAGGTCAAGGGCTCGGGGTGTGGCCCCCTAAGATAACCACCTGCTTCGGTCTGGGCACCCGGGCAGTATCGCAGCCCACACGCAATTTATGAACTGAAATTGTGTGGCGCATATATATTTGGCGCACTCCTGTACCAATATATATGTGTTCAAATAAAATAAAATAAGTAATTGAAAAATGTCCATCAATTGTCTCAGACTTCATTGTTCCTTCGTTTCCATACCAAGTACTCTCTGTTCACGTTCTCTTCTATTCGACCTCGTTAATCTTCTTCTGCCAAACATTTCACTTTAGATTCGTGTTACATACTACTAATATTTGTCGACATATGTAGCACACACCACAATAATAATATACCTGGAAGTTAAGGATAAAACAGTCCATAAGTAGACAGTAAGTTATTTACAAGATAAAATCAAAATGATGCTTACATTTAGTGTCGTAACGATTGAGGTTCTACTTTTAGAATATTTTATTACATAATATGTAATAGTGATATTAAGAATAAAGGAAGAATAAATAAAAAGCTTTGTTACATGCCGAATTCACTAAAATGTAGTTTAAACCAAATAGAGTTGGTCTATATTTCTCATTTCTATTACGAGGTAAATTAAGGGATATTTACTGACTGTTTTCAAATACAAAGGTCAAGTTCTAGCTTTCTAATTGATATGCTTTCTATTAAAAAAATGTTGTCAGAATGTAAACATCTTGTTTATTGATTATTTTGCATGGCTTTTTTGTATCTAATTCATGACATATCCATCAGATGATATGGAATTGAATAATGAAGGTTATCACTATTCTACAAGATGTAGGTACTTTAGAATGTACTCAATAATACACATAGATGGTCGCTTCTTTGTCTATTCAATATAAAGTAAAATTTCACTTTCTAATGACTGTTTTATCAATTCTTATAATTTCACTTCTCCACTCCAAAAATAGTATCATAATCATCAATATTTATGAGAATATTTCCTTGCTATATTAATAAAAGTATATGCCTGTTTCTTCGCCTATATTAATACGGACAAATACAGTGGTTACCAAGATTTGCATGATCTAATTTATTACTGGGAGAATCAATTGTCTAAAAGTCATTTTCAAACAAGTAAAAAAGAGTTCAACTCTTATAGATCTCTTGTCCCTTACATAACTGGTACCAAAATATATCATTATCATGTTTATATAGACATTCTATTAAAATTCTTTTCTGACTATAATCATATAAAATGACCTTCCAAACAATCTTTCCTTTTGATATTGTTTGTTTGAATCTTCCCATTGATGTTTAGGACTGCATTAACAGACTGATCAATTGCAGTACTAAACATCAATGGGAAGATTCAAGCAAATAATACTAAGTGAATTTAAACTTCACCCCGTTGCACAAGCAAGTGGCTATCAGGACTCGGTAGCTAAGTGGATAACTTGATAGCGTTTGAAGTGAACGGTGCTTAGTGCGAGTCCCGGACTGAACATCAACTCTGGGATGCAGGCACATGCAGCTGACTAGTCCAAAATCGGACGAAACATGCATCCTAGATTCCACTATTAGCTACTATTTATCAATCTTTCCTTTTGTAATTACGCTATTATTATATTTTCGTTAGAATTAGAAATTATAAAACTGATCATCAATATCTTTTTGTGAACTATATACCATAATCTTGAAATTATATTCTGAATCCTGATTGGTTCACCGTTGTACTTTAGTTGCAACCTTAGTGATAACAATAAAAAATAATACGTACTATATAAATCGTTGAATAGCAATTCAATAGTTTAAATATTGCATTATATGCCAGAAAATCCATATATTCCATAAGTTCATTTCGTTTGGGTTTATGGCTATTCACTGTTGAACTGGTTCAATGATTCTTGAATAATACTCCAATAACTTTTAGGTTGATATTAATTAACAACGTAAATTACTTTTTGAAGTAAGATTCACTAGTTACTACGACCTTGACTTTTTAAGATGAGCGTGAACTTTGATGAACTTAAATGAATCTTTCTTACTGTTATGACAAACATCAAGCCTCTAAATATGAGATTCAAGTTAAAATTGGAGATTGCTATTTGAAACTACATCTAAATGAAACTTGAAATAAACTTCGATGCCATTATATCACTTCTGTTAGTAGTCTTTAAACCGTTTCTGTCGTTGGTTAAGCTATAACTTTACTACATAAATTGGCAGAAATATATTCCAATTTTACCCGTTCGCTAGTTGTTATAACTGAATAAAAACTGATAAGACTCAATGTAAGGAACAAGAAAAAGAGGACAGATGAGGATTTATTATGTACTAAAATAAACTAAAACTCTATCTGGATACATTGATTTTTATACGTTTAATTTAGAGTGTATAATAGCTACACTTCGAATAAGCTCAAACGGGTAGTACTTAGCACTAAATAACCAGAAACCTAATGTAAGTATACAATTTATGTTATCATAAGATCAAAATCTTATAACCAACAAATAGATTCCCGGATGTAAGATAGTGAATGCTCAATGTTAATAATATCGTGCTGTAATGAACGAAGACTTGATTAGGATAAACTATTATTTTGTCAGGAGGTATGTGTATTTATCACTGGAGGTTACAAAGTATTAGCATAATACATATACATAGATTTTATTCAATTTGCATCTTTCAATGTGTTCTGCCATGTTAATTGTCTTCTTTCCTGTCCCCAAGTGTTCTGCCAACGCCGTGCTTTCGATGCACTGAAACACTTCTCTCTGTTCAATAACTGTTACAACTTCGACATCACGTTTCTCTATATACAACTTACAAATATCCCTGTGAGTGGTGTCCACTACAATACTAGGACAAAACAGCCGTCTAGTGCTTCTAGGTTTTCATTACTAATCTAAGGCCAGATCGTGAAAATAGAACCAAGTTACTGAGTTGCATTATTACTTATTTGTAATACTAATCTTGTTTCCCAATAATTACATAATTTTTCTTATCACAGTGTGTAGCAACAATGGGTACAACATCGACATGTGAATTTGAAAATCTTTATGAAATCGGTAACATTTGTAAGTGTGCTCTTTTTATCAGTCAATGAACAACGATGACAATTATAATAATGATTGTTTTTAAGTTTTTTTCCCAGTTATGAAGTAATGTTGTTGTGGATGAGAATGCATGGGTGGGAAAGACAAAATGAACTTAAATAAAACATTACAGAGTTTTTTGGTAAAATATGAATACCATACGTTCAGTACCTCATTTGCAAAATTTCCATCAATTGTCTCAGACTTTGTTGTTCCTTCGTTTCCATACAAATCACTCCCTGTTCACGTTCTCTTCTATTCGATCTTGTTAACCTTCTGCTGCCAAACATTTCACTTTCGATTGGTGATACATACTACTTATATCTGTCGACATGAATAGTACACACCACAATATCAGTTAGAAAAGCATTAGATCAATATTGTGTTAAATCACAAATCAATTACACTTTTGAACATAAAAGCTATTGAATAGATGGGATGTGGCTAGTAGTAGTAACTAGGACTCGTGTTTCATCCGTTTTGGAACTCTTCAGCTGGATGTACTTGCACTCCAAAGTTGGTGTTCACTCCGGGACTCGAACCAAGTACCTATCGCAATATGGGCCGCAATTCCTCTATTCTGTATTATGGCTACATCACAGCGATCCGCTAACTAAAACTGGTAAAACGTTTTGTCAAAATATCAATAACGCGATACTCTTAATCATTAACTCACTGATTCAAAAATAATAAGACTTTTAGATGAATTGATCAAACCTAGAACTTAAGGGAGCATCCAATGTTTACTGTTGAAAATTCTCATACAGTGAAATTATACTCAACTCACGATTTACAGAAACTCTTAAAATGACCCAAAGAATTCGCTCTTTTACCAATGAAGATAATATAAACTAAGTTTTTACATGAAAACCCAAGAAAGGTTATGGTTTTGGATTAAATATCAATAACCCTTAATTTCCTCCCCAAAGTTCACAGATCATGATCCCTGTTTTTTTAATAATCTTGTGCTTATAACATTTAATTGTTTAATTAACCAAATATTGGTAGATTTCATTTCGTTTTTAATCGATGAAACGGTACTTCATCATTGTTTTTCGATGTCGTGCAAAAATCCATTAACTACTTCCCTAAAACTGATTGGTACTTCCTTGAAAAAAGTGTTTCCATAATAACAATAACAATTATGATAATAATAAAGAATCAATTTATAACTTTGATTTCCTCATGTTTGTATTTCGAGTAGGGGTTGATGCATATTTCATCCATCTTTAGACTCATCAACTGAATTCCCTTGGGTCTCAGTGTTAATATTCATACTGAGACTCAAACCCAACACCTATTATTCCTTACATAAACCTGTTATTTATTCAACTGTAGTGAACAGAATACGGGTGGGGACAATCGAATGTATTTAACACAAAATTACAGGAATTGTTCATAAAATCTAACAATCATAAAGTAATTGCTTAATTTGCAAAATGTCCACCAGTTGTCTCATTATTACTCAGACTTCATTGTTCTTGCATTTTCATACAAATTGCATCCTGTTTCCATTATTTACTGTTCGATTCTCTTGTTTCTCTGCTGTCAGACCTTCTGTTCACGACTAACATCATATACTACTTATGTCAGTATAAGTAGCACACATCACACAGCTACTGAGTTCAACTAGCGTATAACTTGTTCGATGAATATAAATTTTTATTCATATGACTTTGTGTTAGCATTATAGTTCATATTTTTTGTCTGATTATTAATTATGAATCATTATTATTTATTGTCGTTGAAATATTTTGCTTATTTGTTCGTTTTTCAGGTAAGAAATTCAATATTTGGTTTCATGTCGATGCAGCATATGCGGGAAGTGCATTACTTTGTCCTGAATTTCGTTATCTTGGCAAGGGTATTGAAGTAAGTCCAATGTGTTACATCATGCCTTTTATGGAGATGCTTAGTTTTATTCAATATTCTACTAACGAAAGTCATTTTATTTTGTTAATATCACTTACAAAGTAGTTGATATTGTAGTTTCTTTTCTTGTAAATTCCTTTCATATTTACATGAACCTAGTGTAAATGGATTAAGATAATTTCCAAAAGTTTCAAATGCACTTGTAAGGCTGAGTGTGAGGGAAAGTCCCCTCTCCCTCTCAACATCCACTCATGGCTATGGGAAAATAGCTACTCCTATGGAAATCGCACTCACTACCTTCTCGAGGTAAGGGTTTTGTTTACAAAATTGAGAGAAGGAAAAGCAGATGTCCGGTGCCGAAACCAGGTTGATGCGTACGTAGGATTCACCTAGAGGAGTTTGAAAACCCTGGTCCCAAACCAATAGTGTACATGGGCTCCAATATCCTGCGAGAACAAATGGAGTATAAACTTATTCTTAGTTACCGGCTACCACAAGACCGAACTTGATAACGTCGTCCATCTGCCATATGGATCGGTCACTCAGTTAAAAGCTCGGGAAATGGCTCTCCTAAGAGAACCACCTTCTCAGGCTTGGGGACCCAACCACTTTGCATTATTTTTAGCACCACTAATAATAAATTCACTTACCCGTTCAACGTATTCTTCTTAAAAAATCGATTAACCAGGCAAACTTACGTCTTCTAAAGTTGAAATATGTAACCCATATAATTGTACAAGTGACATATTAGACTACCATACATCACAGTTGACAAAACCAAATAAATGAATGACTAAGCGATTTGCTTTAATTAGATGGATAGTGGTTAGCAGCGGACTCTAGGATTTCTGTTTAGTTTTATTTAGGACATGTTAGTTGAATGTACCTGGATTTCAGTTATGATGTTCACACCGGCAATCGAAGCAATTCGCAGTGGGTACGGATATACAGATGAAAAATGATCAAACTTCAGTTTCTAATATCAAAATTGGAATAACTATCACCCTTCCTAATAATGAAATAAGAGATATGTGCCTAAGAATCGAGCAAACTATACAGTGTTTCTGATCTGTGTAAGATAATAATAATATAAGAAGTTGACTAAAATTAGAAATGTAAAAACTATTCAATGGCAGTTTACTGATCTAACGTCTAGGCGTTCTCCATGAGGCCTATAAGTCACTGGATTCAATCTCTGTTGAAGTCATGGATATATATTATGAAAGAGTTTCATGCTAAAATAGGACAACTGTTCAGTGCCTTCTAGTTCCTAATAGCTTCCTAACTAGCTTCAGCCATTAACATAAATCTCAATTAAAAAATCAATTCAATTACCTATACACACTACAACTTTTTTTAAATATCACAGAAATATAATAAATTACATATTGTTAAGCCAAATGACAGGTTAATTTCAAAGAGCCCAAACAGAAAAATTCAATGTTAAATCTGTCGAAGCGTCTAAATCACGCAATTGAGATACGCGCGAGATCGAAGTTAACAAAACAATGATTTATCTGAAAAAAAGTGGTTCTTTATTGAGTAATATACATATTTTAGCTGCAAACCTCAACTTGTGGAGTACCTGTGGCACCCTTCACGCCTGTAAGTTTGAAATAGAAAAGGCTTCTTGCAATAATAACATAAAGAATAATTACAACATACGATAGTTCAAATGACAGCTAATAGCTGTGTCTATTCTTGATAACAGTTTATTAACAAGCAAAAACGGAACCAAGAGCAAGCAATATAGGAACCGTTACGTTTAAACAAGGATTAAACAACCATTCAAAATCTTGAATAACTGCTCCAAGGACTGAGAGAAAGTGATTATAATGATAAATTCAATAAATATTCTATGTATATGTAATTATTTTAGAATATTACTCTATAAACTTGCGCTACAACATACGCTCAGAAATTGCTGTGAATACAACTGTTTACTGAATATTAATAAGTAGTATAAAGCAATACACAAAAGAGTTGAAGGGAAGTGAATAAGGACAGAGAAGGTAAAATAGACCTTATAATCAATGTTAAGAAATAAATTCCACTCACCGTTTATAATCTAATTAAAAACTTACTTTATTCATTGAAAAAATTATTTATAATAAATCCCTTTTCTATATCTTTTCACATACATAATGATGATAATAGTAGTAATGAAATAAAATAATCAGATTGTGTTTATTGTTTTTTCTTCTCTCATCTATAGTTAGCTAACTCAATTAATATCAATGCTCATAAATTATTACTTGTAAACTTTGACTGTTCATTACTTTGGCTAAGTGATCACACTGTTATATCGACTGCATTCCAAGTGGATCCACTTTATTTGCAGCATACTTTTGAAGGAATGCCAGAGTATCGTGTAAATTGATTACTTTAAGGGAGCTTGTTTTTTTTACCTTTTACCTGTTTATTCACAGCTCTATTTATTGATTTTTTGGTTTTTTCAGTGGGAACAAGGAAAAAATGCTCTAAAGATAATACAATGTATTCATTAAGTATTTTGTTGATTTCTACTCATTCAGTGACATAAAGTTTCAAGATATTAAAGAAATATTAACATATACAATACATTAATCTCATGAATGGATCAATGTTAGGTCACCATTGAAGACCTGGAAGAACTGGACAGCCATTTCATCTCAGTATGGGACTCAGCAGTGCATCCACGACGCTGCACGCGGGATTCGAACACAGGACTTCTGTTCTTGCGCGCGAACACTTAACCTCTGGATCACTGAGCAGGCATTCGGTGGTATTAATGTCTAGCTTCAATCTATCCACAATGTTGCGCGATCGTCCACCACTGTCTTCAGAGAGTGACCGCCTCACAACAGACACGGTTGAACTCAACTGGTCACGGCTTCTCACTAGAACTCCAAGAAATTCATCTTGATGCTCATCTATGAGGAGTCCCATACTATGACGAAACAGTCGCCCAGTACTTCAAGGTTTTCAATGGTTGTTTAACATTTATCCATTAATGATATCAATCTAAACTCAAAAATCTCCACAATCCTATACTGATATACAATATATATTGTGAAATCATCAAAATACCAGTAGTGAATAACTGTACCACTCTTGAAATAATTAAATTCAAACAGCCATTATTAATTCCGACTAGAACTTCACAAATTATTTTCAAAATCAGTTACTAGTGAGTAAACGATATTGTATCAAATTGAGAATAGATTATGGTTGCGAAAGTAAAATCATTGATGTTATAACTTGTGACCTGTGTTCCCTGTAACATAGTAGTTTAAAAATTCAACTTGCTCACGAATAAGCACAGAGGCTGTGGCTTTGACTCATAGTGGATTTTTAGGTACACAAATACTATGTTGAGGAACCTCACACAGATGAAAGATCAAGATTAATTGTATAAGATACATACAATTTCTCTGTTTACCTTGGCCCATATTAAGGTCACTTCGCTCTTGATTTTATTTGTGTCCCTTTCACCAAACATTGTGATTTACACTCTCTTCCAAGACATTCTTTTCTTATTCTGAATGATACGTTAATCTTTCTTATTTTACATAATATCCCGATTAATAATTATTCTTAATGTTGTTATTATTATTATTATTATCACAACAACTACAATACAACGATTTCTGCTTCGTATTAAATATGTTTTCTCAACGTTAACAGTGACGTTAGTAATTTAAAGTATGTAGTACTTATTCTACATGAAATTTGACCTATTTAACTTATAACCTGGATTAATTCAACTTTAATGGTTTAGTATAATTGCAACACAAAATGATAATTTTCGATTTGTAACTGTAGTGCCTGAATGAAGAAGTTATCGAAAACGATGGTTTTCTGAAATACTCTTTGTGTATGAATACATATGTAAAGGTTAGATAAAATCACCTAAGGATCTATATCAGTCTGTCACATACAAAAACTATACAGTTATAATTTTAGTAAAATGTCTATTAGGTTTCATTGTGACCTCCGAAGAATCTCGGCTTTCAACATGAGGCGTCATAATTCTTCCTTCAACTCCCAGGGCAGAGTTTAAATGATTTAATTTATTTAATGTGGCTAGTGTTTTTTTAGCAAGGTTGATTTCTACAGGATAGGGTTTCCAATCCCATGCCTAACCTTCCTCCTTTGTGTGAGTTTGGGACCAGCAGTAATTCTAGAATAGTTACTGGATTGCTAGAGCAAGGACAACATCCCTACAATTGAAGAACATATGGAACTCAAAACAACTGCCAATCAATATTAAAGTCACAATCTTTAATACGAATGTCAAGACAGTTCTTCTGTATGGGGCTGAAACTTGGAGAACTACTACAACTATCATCAAAAATGTACAAGTATTTGTAATCAATTGTCTACATCAAATACAGAATGTCTATTTGTCGGATACCATCAGCAACAATCTACTGTGAAAGAGAGCAAACCAATGTCCAGATGAAGAGGAAATTAGGAAAAGACGATGGAGGTGAATAGGAGCCAGATTGAAGAAATCACCAAACTACATCACAAGACAAGCGCTAACTCGCAGTCCTGAAGGGAAAAGGGAAAAAGGAAGACCAAAAAAACACTGCGTCGAGAATTCGAAGCAGACACGGAAAGGATGAATAGCAACTGGATAGGATTGTTGAGGACAGAGTTAGATGGAGAATGATGGTGGACGGCCTGTGTTCCCTCACAAGGATTAACAGGCATAAGTAAGTAAGTAAGTTATTAGATTTCGTATGCATATGGGCCCTTATAAAAAAATATAAATGGTTAACAATTTTATGATCAATATATCAATATAATATATATTTCTTTTAATTTTTTGTTTTCTAGAATTGGAGTATATCACTTGGTAGACGATTTCGAGCTTTAAAACTTTGGTTTGTTTTACGATTGTATGGACTTAAAAATATTCGTCATTTACTTCGATTAGTAAGTTAACAAAATGTTAAACAAATTTTTATCAATATCAGAATGGGTATTGTGGATATTATAGTAACTTCAATGGTTGAGTCACTTGAGGCTAGAGGTATATCTTGAAGTTCTAATGAGAAGCAGTGACCAGTGGAGTTCAACCAGGTCTGTTGTGAGATAGTAACTTACTGATGACCATTGAAATTTTTTATGAACTAAGTATTAGTAATTTACCGTAAAATTAAAAGAACCCTAACAAGATTTTCTTTTTTGAATGATGATTTTCAACAAGTAAACTGGCATTTAAATGATAAACTATCGAATGTCATAAATTGTTTATTTGAATCTTCCCATTGAGGTTTAGGAGTGCAATCGATCAGTCTCTTATTGGCATACGTGTATGGATTGCCTCGATATTGTCTTAAATCACAAGCATTACAATCGAAGATAGATGGTGGCTGGTAGTGGGATATAGCATGCGCTTTTCGTCCTATTTGGGACTCGTACTGAGTTCTAGCCCTGAGGAGGACATCAACCTTGGGGTGCAGGTACATCCAGTTGACGTGTCCTGGATTCCACTGTTAACCACTACCCATCTTTGCTTATATCAAAAGTCCTATTTCAATAGTTTCATTTTATTCTTGTATGGTTTAAATTATATTATATTCTCAATAAAAAATTAAAGATTTTACATTAGATCTTATGGGAAATTCATTGAGACAGCATTATTAAGAAGTGAAGTATATTGTTTTTACGTTATATTGAAATTTAATTGTATGATTTTACGGTAGGAAATATTGAATATTGGTCAATCAGTAAAATGTTGCATCTTCTATTTACCTGAATTACAATAGACGGTAATTTAGTGACATATTGATTAGTATCAGAAAGGGGTTATGTGGAGAATGTAATAATTTAATCGTTGAGTTTATGAGTCGATTAAAGCTAGACCACTATGAAAAACCCGGAAGCACTGGACTGCCGTTTCGTCCTAATATGGTACTCCTTAGAAGTGCCCATCTACACTGATTAATATTCTCATTTATAATAAGATAGGAGGGATTTCATTGTTACTTTTATAACGGCCACATATTCTGTATATAATGAATACCTTCAACTTCCTTATATATAAAGTATATTTCTTTGTTTCAGCATTTTGATTTAGCTAAAAAGTTTGAACAACTATTGACAACGGATGGTCGTTTTGAAATTGTCAACGATGTACAATTCGGTCTGGTGTGTTTTCGATTAAAGGTAAATATAAAGACAGAAAAATATCTTTTCTTCATTACGCTTAAAAAGTTAACATTTAACAATAGATCTACTGTTGATTATTACACAAAATCGCGAAATCTACATATAGATCTATTTCAGCTGTCACAATTATCACATCAGTGATGACAAAAATCTAGTGCAATTAACTTCCTCCCCGTTGTTGACAAAGCTATTATATAGAATATGATTTTTAAGTGTGATATCCAGTGACGTATCAGCTCCATTGAGGTTGGTTAAGCCTCTTTAGATGAAACCTATTGTCTTTTTTGGTGGAAAACGTCTCTTAAGTTACATATACCTGTCAAGTGTACGTTGTTTTAGGAGGAAATCATAGATTTCCCAGGGTCTTGGCTCTTGGACGTCGTACCAGAGACAATTATACGTTAAATGAATACCGGTGACACTGGTTTTCACTTACGAATCCCGTGGCATATACATCGGTATACACGCCCCTGGGGAGCGTTTGTGGTCAACTTTCTCTCCAGTCATATTTGCAATCCCTTTCTGAAGCTTGTGTGTTACATGCACATCGCTGGTACATAGGCTTTTAGTTGTGTACTTCACAGCACACACATACGCATATACACTTTTAAGGGAGGGTTGATGTTCACCAATTCGTTCACCTGCATTTACTGTCCCTCTCTTCTCTAATCTTGTTTATGGACCTGTTTCTTTTTGTTGGGTCTACTTTATTGACATAGAGTAGACTGTCTATTTTTAGCTCTTTTCGGCCAAGCCCAACGCGTACACTTTGTATTTACCTACATACATCAACTACACAAGCCGAGACCTGTGAAGTTCATATATATACGCAAAGGGCCTCCCTAAACAATTTTTCGACACATCGAAGTGTGGTCTCTGAGATATCCAGTTACGGAGTGTGGAGTAGTGGAATAGTCCGATCGCCTCCAATTAACCAAGTTAACTTATGAGGTTATTCCCACTATCCAGCAGCTGCACGAGGAGGCGTTAGGTCAAATTTTGATGTCCTACAATCCAACATGTTTACTTAAAAGTGTCTGTAGATGATTATAATGGTAGAAAGATTTTTTTAATGACGAATTACAGTTCCATCTACCAGTGATTATAGTGCAGGCGGTGGTTTGGTAACTAAAACATTCGATTTTCAATAGGTCACATATTTGAACTTTGTCCCACCAAATTTTACTTGAGTAGTTGGATAATATCACTAGCCTTCATAGTAAAGAAGAACATCGGGTCAAAGTCAAGTATACCAACTTACATTTGACTGCCAAGTTATATGAAGGAAATTATAAGTTGTAAATAAGTGGCAAGAATTTGTAACTGTCATGACTGTAGGCGATTTTCGTTATGAACTGAAATCGACTGGAGCGCTAACAAAAACTAGAAAACACAAGACACCCATGACACTTAGTTGTTGAGCTCAAGGTCCTTAGGTCTCACTGTAAGTGGTTAACTCTCGGATTACTAATTTAGTAATCAGTTCAGTCTCAGATAACTCATGATGTAGTTTGGCCGCCATTTGGTGCCATCAATGATGAGTATTTCATTTCTGAATAGTACCCACAAATTAGACGAATCTCTCAAACAATATATAATATTTACTAACGTTATTTATCCTTTTAGTTTAACATCACGGGCTAATATAAGTTATACTACTACTGAAAACCAGTAGGAGCTAGACAGCTGCTCCCTAATGATGTATAGCCACTATTCTGTCAAGGGTCGAACCCAGACCCTTCAGTCCTCTCGGTAAACTTACTTACTTACGCCTATTACTCCTCGTGAAGGAGCATAGGCCAACCACCAGCATTCGCCATCCAACCCTGTCCTGGGCAATCCTTTCTAGCTCCGTCCAGTTGTAATTCATCGCTTTCATATCTATTTCTATTATCCGACGCAGTGTGTTCTTTGGCCTTCCTCTCTCCCGCTTCCCTTCAGGATTCCAAGTTAGGGCTTGCCTCGTGATGCAGTTTGATGATTTGAGTAATGTATGTCCTATACATTTCCATCGTCTTTTATTAATTTCCTCTTCATCTGGAAGCTGGTTTGTTCTCTCCCACAGAAGGCTGTTGTTGATGGTATCCGGCCAATGGATGTTGAGTATCTTGCGTAGACAGCTATTTATAAATACTTGTACTTTCCTGATGGTAGTTGTATTAGTTCTCCAACTTTCAGCTCCATACAGTAGAACTGTCTTGACGTCCGTATTGAAGATTCTCACTTTGATATTGGTTGAAAGTTGTTTTGAGTTCCATATGTTCTTCAATTGTAGGAATGCGACCCTTGCTTTGCCAATCCTCACCTTTACGTCTGCATCTGAACCTCCTTGTTCATCGATGATGCTTCCCAGGTATGTGGAGGATTCTACATCTTCCAGAGTTTCTTCATCAAGAGTGATTGGATTACTGTTCTCCGTGTTGTATTTGAGGACCCTGGTTTTCCTTTTGTGTATACTGAGGCCTACTGATGCAGAGACTGCTGCTACATTGACTGTCTTCATCTGCATCTGTTCGTATGTACGCGATAGGAGGGCTAGGTCATCTGCGAAGTCCAAATCGTCTAATTGATTCTGAGCTGTCCATGGTATTCCGTGTTTTCCTTCAGATGTCGAGGTCCTCATAATCCAGTCGACCACCAGAAGAAAGAGGAAGGGAGAGATTAGATAGCCTTGTCTGACTCCGGTCCTTACTTGGAATGCATCTGTTGGCTGTCCTCCATGCCTGACTTTGCAGTGTGGTCCGTTGTATGAATTCCCGATGATATTGACGATCTTATCAGGTAAAGCATAGTGTCGAAGAAGTTTCCATAATGTTCTCCTATCTACATTGTCCAACGCCTTTTCATAATCAATGAATTTGATGTATAGTGACGAGTTCCACTCAACTGATTGTTCGACGATGATCCGTAGTGTTGCAGTTTGGTCTGTGCACGATCGATCCTTACGGAATCCAGCTTGTTGATCTCGAAGTTGGACGTCTACTGCATCCTTCATCCGGTTCAGCAACACTCTGTTAAAGACCTTCCCTGGTATTGACAGTAGTGAAATGCCTCTGTAGTTCTCACATTTGCTCAGATCTCCTTTCTTTGGAATCTTGACGAGGTGTCCTTTTTTCCAGTCGATCGGCACTTGTTCTTCCTCCCAAATCTTTTTGAATAGAAGTTAAAGCATGTTTGTAGTTACTTCGATGTCTGACTTCAGTGCTTCAGCTGGTATGTTGTCGGGACCTGCTGCTTTCCCATTCTTGATTTGTCTGACGGCCATTCTGATTTCTTCCTTCGTTGGTGGGTTGACGTCTATGGGAAGATCTCTGTGTGCTGCTTCGATGTCTGGGGATTCGTTGGAGCCGGCCTATTCAGGAGTTCCTCGAAGTATTCTACCCATCTGTTTCGCTGTTGTTGAATTTCAGTGATTGGCTTGCCTTCTCTGTCTTTGACCGGTCTCTCTGGTTTACTGTATTTCCCTGATAGTTTCTTCGTTGTATCGTGAAGCTGTTTCATATTTCCTTCTCTAGCAGCTTTTTCTGCCGTCGTTGCTAATTCTTCCACGTATTTCTTTCTGTTGGCTCTAATGCTCCTCTTCACTTGCTTGTTTGCTTCTGTGTATTCAGCTTGTGCTTGGACTTTCTCTGCTCGTGTTCGGCTGTTGTTAACTGCTGCCTTCTTGTTCTCCCTTTCTTTGATCTTGTCCAGAGTTTCTATAGAGATCGACTCCTTATGATGGTGTTTCTTTAGGCCCAGAACCTCTTGACATGTTGAAGTTAATGCTTTCTTGATGCCTTTCCAGTTGTCCTACATAGTAGTTTCTTCTTCCTTCAGTAGATCTTGTAAGGCTTGGAACCTGTTGTTGAGAGCTATCTTGAATTCATTGAGTCTGTCAGTATCTCGAATGAAGGCTGTATTGAACCTTTGTATTGCTATTTGTCCAGTTGTCCAGTTCCTCTTTAGCTTCAGTTTTAAATTGGCTACAACTAGGTGGTGATCTGAACCTATGTCAGTACCTCTCCTGGTTCTCACATCTTCCATTGTCCTTCGGAACTTCTTATTGATGCAAATGTGATCTATCTGGTTCTCTTTGGTGTGGTCCGGTGAGATCCATGTAGATTAATGTATAAGTTTGTGTGGAAATATTGTGCCTCCTATGACCAATTTGTTGAATGCACATAGATTTGCAAATCTTTCTCCATTTTCGTTTCTTTCCCCCAGTCCATGTCGCCCCATGATATCTTCATATTCAGTGTTGTCTATCCCGACTTTGGCATTTAGATCTCCCATCAGAATGGTGAGGTCCTTTCTTGGGCATTTCTCAATGATTGACTGCAGCCCCACATAGAATTGATCTTTAATGTCGTCGTTGCTATCATTGGTGGGTGTATAACATTGGATAATATTCATTAAGATCCCCTCCTTCTTTGTTTTAAATGATGCTATGATGATTCTGGATCCGTGAGACTCCCATCCTACAAGTGCATTTCGTGCTACTCTGGACAGCATTAGAGCCAATCCCTGAGTGTGTGCAGCATTTTCCTCTTCGTGACCGGAGTATAGCAGCATCTCTCCCGTAGCTAGCCTTTTCTGTCCAGCTTGGGTCAAATGGGTTTCGCTGATTCCCAGTACTGCCAAGTTGTATCTCCTCATTTCCGTTGCTATTTGACTGGTCTTCCTGGTCTCCCACATTGTTCGGACGTTCCATGTACCTATAAAAAATTTTGCTCTGGTTGTTAGAAGGGGCATCGGCCTCGTGGCTTCCGAAGGAACTCGGCTTTCACCATGAAGCGTCATAATTCTTCTAGATGAAGACCTTCTAACTCCCAGGGCAGAGTTAAAATGGTTTGAATTATTTTTTCTTGTAAGAGTTTTTTAGCTAGTTAGTTTTCTACGGGATGGGGACGCTAACCCCATGCCCAACCCTCCTCCTTTACCTGGGCTTGGGACCGGCAGTAACTCTAGAAGAGCTACAGGCGCCTTTCAGTAAACACTTAAACTTAAAACCTTCTGAATCAGTGTTTAATAGATTATATTTCGATATTCAATCAGTTTATGGTGTTGATTCGTCATGCTGAACCCAAAAGACTGAATAATTTTCACAAACCTATACTTATATCCTGGTAAATTGTTAGCATTATTTAATATTTAATATTTTTGTTATGCACTCTGTATTTAAACAGAATAATAATGAATTAACAAAGAAATTGCATGAAAATTTATTAAATAAAGGTGAAGTATATCTTGTTTTAAGCTCATATCATGAGAACGCAGGTCAAGAACTTGGTCAAATGAATACAACTATATCATATCAAACAACAACAACAACGACTGTATTTCTTCGATTTGTTTCAATACACGGTACAACAATGAAAGATATTGATTATGCTTATCAGAAAATTGCTTCATGTGCTACAGAAATTCTTGATCAATTCAATGAATGAAATGCTTAATTGATGAATAGATAGATAGATTAATTGGTTGATCAACCGATCAATCAACCAATCGGTTGATCGGTCTGTTGATTGATTGATCTAATGATCAACTGACTAATTAATTGAGCAATCGATAATATATTATTTATGTGTTCAAGATACTTGTATTTATTTTGTTTATTAAAGTCGGGTTATGGTTTTGTGTACTTAATTGAGAAATAGTTTTCATTATGGATGATGAATATCAGCTACAAATTTAATAAAAAATCGGAGGAACCCATGACTTTTAATGTTTACAGAGTAGTAATATAATACTTTCCGATCATTAAGTTATAAAACATTCGTTCACATTTCTAACTTCAGTTGATTTACGATATTGTGAGACAATTATAGGATGTTATTACTAACATGGCTTAACTCCATCTGTTACGAATTATCGCCTGAAACTTTGGAAATTCATCGTATAGACTCATAAATCAGTGTTTTATGGAAATAGGATATCAAGGAATGTTCCATACAAAAATAAATGAACTGTAGTGTGAAGAAACACAAAAGGTGAGATCACAAGATTAAAGCAGTAATGAATATGATATATATATAAGCATAAACAATATAAATTTGTCTATTTTAGGTTATAGAGAAATAGAGAAATAATGGATACCATCAGTAATATAGTCGATAGTTCTCACTCTAAACCATTTCTCGGAATGTCTCAATTCACTAAACTGCAAAACTCCTTAAAATCTTATCTAAGGAGCCTTAATAAGCTAGCAAATGCTGACCCAGTATGACTGACATTCATTCAGAAGCTGTATTTCTACTTTACCCAACTAGCGTGAACGGGTAATAGCCAGTATGGAATCCTTTGAAATAACATAAGTATAATAAACCCAATTCAGTGAATCTTGAGTAGTAAGTCGGCAACAACATTGGTGAACCATAAAAGTACATCCACCATTCTGTATTCAGACCTTAGATAATAATTAAACGTAGAATATCACCAGATAACCCCAGCTCAGAAAACCTATGTCTCGTAATTATAGGGTGAAATTTACAACATTTCTTGAGAGGACTAATGTAACGACTGTAACAAAATTGACCCAAACTAATATAATCCACTTTAGCTATATATCAATAGGTGTGTTTTTTTTTGCATCAGTACTCATATAACTGTCCAGATTTAAGGGCATGTTTATTTCTAAAAGGAAAATTAATGAATCAAGTCACAAACTCATATCAGTCTTGCAAAAGTACTTAATACTTCAATTGGACAAAATGTATGTTATGTTTACAAACTATGATAGTTAACTGATTAGTATGGAATTAACTGACAATATATCACGAGAATACTCGAAAAGAAACAGTCTTTTTCCCGGTAATAAAATAGCACTATCCTATAATTTAGTCTATGCTTTTTCTAGAATGTAAGAGACGGTAAAAGTAGAAATAAAATGAAAAGCGAACAATCTAGATTGAAACAATCAAAACAGGTTTTCGGTTTTTCTTTATATGTTTTTTTATATGGAGTCTCCAAAATATCACAAAACGTCACCTATATATTTCCATCTAACAGACAACTCTGTAACACAGCACTGTTTAACGAGTCAAAATCAGTCTAGATGTAAAAAAAACAACGATTGTTGATTTTCATTACATGTGAAGATGTTTTGTTATTAATACAACCATTATTCCAACTGAACCTAGTCTACAACTCGCTAGTCAGTCCTTCAAAGATTTCATATAGTCTACATAGTCAGTATTTCTACGAAAATGTTAGTCGGCTTATAACTTGATAGTTTCCAAATGTAGAAAATGAGCCATTTTTGAAAATGGGTTCAGGAATTTTTTGTCACTGTAAGCTGATCTCTAGCATCCACCACTTCTGTGTAGGTTCTGGATATCCACTTTTCCTTTGCATTTTTGACACAAACACTCCGGTTAAGCGAAATAAGTGAATAGTACCTTCGTAAATGAAACCATAAACGCAGTCTTATGTGCAGACACTTCACTGATATACCTTTATATTCAAGGATCGATTTAAAAATATAAAAACAGTTGGTGTATGAAGAAATCAGTTGGCTTTTGTCAACTTAGATCACTCGTAGCACATGTGAGATGTCCATCTACCAAACAAAGGATGAGCTTACAGTGCAGTAATTTGCTTAGTTCCACTCTATGGGTATGAAACACAGACACTAAGAACAAAAGATATTCTCAGGTTACTAGCAATCAATTATAGGTGTAATTAAAGCTTCGCTTGCGTATGTTAGGACTACCGACTGAGCAATATTAAGGTTAGAGAGGAAGTATCAGGTAGAGATGACAAATCGGTTGGTTGGGTAGTGGTTCTTCATCAAATGACGTGGTTGATGACATACTCCCACCTCATTTCCTAAAGCTAAATCCGCGAAGTCAGACCTACGTTCAGGAGGGAAAAGTGATAAATCAAGTCAGTCAAAAGTCAACCAACTTGGAAACATGCACAAAATTGGCCATATATGTATATGTATATATTTGACTTTCATCCATATGAAACACAATACAAACACTAAAACTGCTATGTTTGCGATATTACGATATCACCTTGGACTGGCAAATGTATCGAAAGTCAGCAAGGAAATAACCGGACGAAGCTCCAGCCCTGCTAAATAGAGGGAGAAAATCATATTCTATCGTGAAATATACGATTCTACAAGCAGTGTGAAAGAACCAATAACAAGCATGCAACTCATTGGTTTATACACAATATAAAAATGTCCTTGAAAAGTGTCACAAAATGGAGTACTAAAAGAGGAAACGAATCAATCACGTTTAAGGTCCTTCCAGGTGGGAAACACACACTGGAGTAATAATAAGCGCTTTTCGTGCGGAAATAAGAAATTCAAATGTCTACACAGAAAATATATTACCGAATGATTTCTAGAGATATAGCATACCCAGTACCTCTCCTTTTTAAGAGTGTATATTCCTGGGATTTACCCACATCCTGACCATTTATCATCATCGTTGATGTGACCACAATTTGAAACGTAGGTTGACTTGTTTTTAGACATCTTCCTTGACTGGAACCGGGAGTAGGTTGAATGTAATCATCAGAACTTCGTCGATAGGTATTCTAGGGCTAACTGTATCCGTAGCCGATTTGGGTGTCGAGTCCACTTTTCTCTTCTAACCTTTACTTCATAAATGACCTGGTCTCGTCTTCCGAACACACGTGTTTCCGCCTAAGGATCATGGTTTGGTTTGTAGTCCCGAGCAAACACTGGATACTCACCCTTCTACGTTGGTGGTCCCTGGAACTATATCTGTAGTTGTGTGATTCTCAGTACCATCAGGTTGTGGATCGTCCTCAGTTTTCTTCCTACGAGGATCTCTGCTAGGGACCTATGCTCTGGAAATGTTTTGATTGGTATCGTTAGAAAAGAAAATAAGAAGTTTACCAAGTGATATCTGTGGATCTAACATCTTCAACAATAACAAGATCAATTTTTAATAATTTTCCAAATAAAAGTCGTGTAAAGTCTGTGCATTTTAAAAGTAAAAGAAGTACGTTAATTTGATCACTTTGTGATGAACTTCTCAGAACTAGGAAAATACTGACAGGATGGGCGATTCTAGACATATCACAGGTATATGAGAAAAGCTAAGTAGCTCACATACTGTCCCAAGGTTAAAACGCAGATATGCACTATAAACGTGGCACGCTATTGAAGGAGTTTGATTCTGTTCTTAATCAAGTTCAGAGACCACATGGTGGTACATTATCTAAGGAGGACAAATGTATAACTATCATGATTCATGGTTAAACGTAGTGTAGGGACGAGCCAACCGCTTCCGACCTTTGTGCGAAATTTAAAAAGGCCAGTTTTCATCCTTCGTCGCATAAGATGCGTAATAGAGGTATCTTTTTTAGTGCTGAGAACCTTGTTGAAATTTTTTAAAGATTATATAGTGAATTTAACATTGCTAAACATATCAGTTGTTCTTTTTTCTGTATATACATTTTACACAACACGTAAATCAATCAGTTCTCGCCTCAATTTGCTGGAAAATAATTCATTTTACCAATACCTTACTGAATAATAGCTGATTTGATGAAGTGTTTACGCATAAATTACTCATATCGATGTAGTCACAACGCTGGTTCTTTCATGATTCCGTAGCTTAATCTCGGTGAGAAATGAAAAACTATCTTCATAGTAAATTAGAAGGTTAAACAACATTCTTGTCACCCACCATTTTCAGTTACTCTCAGGTTCGAAAAATAGTCAAAACGCTTCGCCCTATCATCATTCTTTAGAAATTTCCAAGATAATTATAAAACCCTGTAAATTGTCTTATAACTTGATTGGACAATTATTAAGTTTTGTCATGTTTCCAAAAGCTCCTATTATCTAGGATTTCCGTGTATCCTAGCCTAAACTCCTGATGGGAGATATACCACATTTAAAGAGACTATCTCCTACTGATTAGTCAGTCTTTCGGTATTCTAAATGTTTACTACATTTTAGAGGTCCTTATATATATCTCCTATAGTGACCACCATGCTTCTTGAAAGACTGCTATTTAGAGTAACCAGATTCAGGATAAAGACAAAATATGTGGTATCCAGGTATTGAACTCAGATCCAGAAGTTATTGTCCTTTAGTTCAACATAACTTAAATCTTCATAAACCTTAACAATTACTTTCCTCACCTAACAGGGTACAAATGTTACAATAACTTACTACACTAGTGACTATTTTTAAGTAGTAAACTGAGCATACAAATAAAATAAGTAGCCGTAAAAAGAAACAGTAAATACGACTAACATGATTGACTTATACATGGAATCCATGAATATACAAATAAATATAAAAAACAAATACATTATTTCTGGTTTTTACAACTTATTATCTAAAAGTTATATAAGTCTCTTTCCGATATGAATTTAGTTTTTTTTCACCTGCAAAATCTCATTTATTTATTATGTTGTTTTCTTTTTACAAACAACATTAATAATAACGGTTAAATAGATATTTGCATAAGAAATTTCCGGTTCCAGTGAAACTTCCGGTTTGATAACAATATCATTATTGAGTAAAAGTTGTTGGTTATCTATGCATATATATATACATACGTGCACTCGTTTTATTTCGTTTTCATAGAGGAAGAACCACAGTACCACAGTATATATATATAAATTTGTCTA